CGATGACTGCGGAAACCTGCAATAGAGAAAACAAAAAAATTGGTTTTCCATTCACTGGCTTAAGTATAACCCGCAAAAATCACAAATGCACTGAGTGGAAGGTCAGCCATTCAATGAGCAAAGTTCAGCGGAGGGAAAGTCATATTTCACGCATTAATGGGACGCTCGTACAATGGGATATTGGTTTGCACCAACAAGACGATGCGTAAATAGGACAATTTTCAAATGCCTATAGGTGGAACTCGACTGGATTATATGATGGACAATGTACATCAAAACGAGATAGCACAAAATCAGTCGTATCGTTTCTTATTACTACGACAGTTTCCTGTGGCATTTTGAGGTTCCTGGACCTAGTTCTATTGCAATCTGATCATGATCACCATTGCGATCAACCCAGTTTAGTTCAAGGCGGAGTTTATGTTTAGAACCCCATTGGAATTAAGGTAAAGGGAGGTGGTGCTAAGGTGAAGAAAAAATTATGAGAAACGGCCCAGAACCCGAGAAATGGGACCCCTTCCTTGCCCGTTGATTTGCATTGATGCGACTCTCATCGGTGTGCCCTCTTCAACGCTAACGCTCTCTCTGCTAACGGCTAGAGACCTGCGGTGTTGGTTAGCCAGTCGGTGGGCGTGCCGCGCCGATAGCGCCGCGAGGAGGGCCATGCTAGATCGCCGGGGACATATCTTTCGCTGCAAATTGCGTGTCCGTTCGCAGCCTCAAGTGGACCGCCTATCTTTCCTCTTCTTCAAGCTTCAACCTTATCGTGCAATCCTCCTTTGAGGTTGAAAAACTGCTCGACAATACGGTTTCTATGGTTAGCAATCTTTCAAGCTCGCTAACTTGAAAAGGTCGGCGGTCAGGTGTGCATCATTGCATTCGTCTAGATACGCTGAGCACAAACTGCTCTCTATTTCTGCTCAACGATTCTTTAAGCGGAGTTGTGGAGGGTTTTCCTCATACTATTTTGCATGCTATCTTTATCGAATTAGCCTAAACTCCTTGCAAACCCATTATTTAGGCGAGCATTGATGCAGGAATGATGTCGTGTCTTCCTAACTTGTTGCTGAAAGAGCAATCTCAGCGCATGCTTTGAAAATTGCACGCAAAAAACAACGTCGAAAGAAATTTTAGAATGGATTACTCGTAGCCTGGAAATCAAGTTTTGCGAAATTTATGCGAACAAAAACACATATTACCAGCACAGCGCATTCGGGGCGTACATGAGAGAAATTTCATGCGAAACATTGTTGGGCGACCCTCAGCAATGGGTCAAACTTTGATTGACCTTTGATTTTGGTTTGGCATCCCAAATCTTTTTGCTTATCTGCACCAAAACGCTTCTAGAATAGCTATGAACATAACAGAGAAGAAGCTGCAGCGCGACGTGCTTTAAGCGAAATTTTCTAATAATCAAATCTGTAGTACAACGAGAATTGCCGGCTAAGGACAGTTGTAGCAGGTTTTAGAACCTAAACTTTCGCGAAATCCGCACAGTTCGTGAGCACTACCACCACGTCCGCGCTCGCCGCGGCCACGCCCCAAATCGTGAAGAAAGTGGTGGAGCAAAGGCCGATGTCAGACTTTGCGAATCGCGCGATTCGCTAGCGTCTGCGGTCGCGTCGCGGCCAGTGAATCACTCAATTGGCTGGTAACGCGACGCGCGGACGCTAGCGAATCGCTAGTAGCGAATCGCGCGATTCGCAAAGTCTGACATCGGCCTAGCGTGCTCCAATCTTAACAATCATGCAAACTCCGACGTGGGTGAGTACACAACAGCATTGCAAAAGTTTGAGCGTGTGAGATCAAGAGAGGGAGTAAAGCAGCGAGAGTGGGCGAAAATACCAAATTGAGGCGATTCAAAGAATTGGGTTGAAGTAGCCCGTAGACCTGCAAATGCTGCAATTCCAAGGCAGGCAAGTTCGTGGTATGGTTCCGAATAAAAGAAGTCGAGGTGCAGCTACCCCGATTTTTGCCAAATATTATGCTAGAACTTACCTTAGCTCTCTTGTCGTTGGCAAGTTTCTTGAAACGTCCATCTTTGAAAGGATTTAGCGACAAATCCAAGACCTTGATTTTTTCCATCTGACCGATAGCCCATGGGAGAGACGTGATCTCATTCTCGGAGAGATTCAACGTTTTCATATGCTCGATGACATTCAGCTCTGTATTCACCTAATACAAACGTTGGTTGCACCAACAACGCGAACATTGATAACTGATCGCCTCCTACCTCGACAATTTTGTTATGAGCAAGATTCAAAGTGTGCAAGTGGACGAGTTTCCCACACATCAATGTAGGCGGCACGACTGTCAAATTGTTATACGAAAGATCGAGCACATGAAGCGATTCAATTGCAGTAAAGTCGAACAGTCCGTCATCGGTCAGCTCAAAAGAATCAAACTGATATGAAAAAGAGGAAGTTAGCGCATCGCAAATCAAATAATCAACGCAGAAAACGATAGATCTTGAAAAAAATGAACATCTTTATAGAGCGTATTTGATGCAGAGATTCATCAAGTTTCCATAGACCGAAAAAAATTTCAGCAGAAGAAAATGTCTCATTTCTTCAGAAGCTCAAGGCTGGTGTAATAGTCCCCAATTCGCGCGATTCGCGCGACGGATCGGGGACTCTGACACCAGCCCAAGTTTTGTTCATTTTCGAAAATGACTCATCTGGTCGTTGAGCCTTTGCATTTGAGAGAACAAAGAGGAGCTGACAACAGACTAAGCCTAAGTGAGCCTAAGTGAAGTGAGATTAAGCCTTGTTCAGTGAGCAAGGACCAACAATTGGGTTATTCTGTTACAAAATGAGAATCTTTTTTTGAACGAATCTCACCTGATTTCCAGAAGCAACCAACGTTTCAAGCTTGTTTAGTTTTGAAAACGATGCCGGCAATCGCTCCAATTTATTATTACTGAGGTCAATAAAAACTAATTTTGTCAAGGTACCTAAACAGCAATGGTCACTCAAATATCAAAGAAAATTACGACCAGAAGCACCTCACCTAATTCCTCGGGAACAGAAACAAGTTCATTCCGTATGATGACAAGCTTGGTGAGATGCGAACAAGAGACAATCGAAGGTGAAAGGTAAGACATTCCACAACCCGCTATGCTAATGAAATTCAGTTGATGATTCTGAAATTAACGCTCAGTGGTACAAAAAAAAACACAAGGAACGTTCATACCTTTTCAAAAACCATTTTTTGAAGGCTATCATCGCTGAGATTTGGAGTCCTTCCCTGCGAATCCAAACTTTTCAGCACAAGTTCGAATCGCTGCTCTTTGGTTACTACGGCTAACTCGGGCCATTCTGCTAGTGTAGTCATTCCGGAGAGGTCTCAGAAAAATAAGTATGACGCGAGCTGAAAATATTGTATGGAAAGGGAAAGGGACGAAAAATTACAGTTGGTCGAATGCAAGTACTTAAACAATTGCCTTTGGACAACCAAAGTATGAGACAAGCAACTCTTGCTTAGCCACTCGAGCTGACGAGATTCTCTATCCTACACAACTTTATTAAAGTACAATCAGTAGTGACAAACGAAACAACTTCCGCTCTTCTTCCCTCACTGACCTAATATTTGATCACCTCGATGAGCTTAGACTACTGCTCTCCACTACCTCTTTCTTGGACCAGCCAAACTTTTATGCCTGCAAACTATACAAGAATACAGATGCGCTTGGCAACTTATTCGAGTGGCTCCACATCAACTCAGATGCCAAGCAATTGTCAAGTCTTTCGATTGGTCTAGCCACTCGGACTGCGCGGAGGTTAGAGCCTAAATCTAAACTCAGGCTCAGTTTCGTTGCTTCAGTAGTAAAGGGAGCAGCTGTCGCGTCCCGAAAGTGCGCGACAATGGCGCTAGGGCTTCACAAAATGCACTTTTGGAGAACCTTAACCTATAGACCCTTCTTTGTCAGCTTATTTCCGCGCTCGATGAGTTTCGATGTAGATAACTTCTATTTCGGAAAACGAGAAGAGCTTCGAGTGCAGACCACACACCACAAGTGACGACGGCCAAGAAAAATGGCTTTTCTTTTTTTTCTTGGCCGTCGTCACTTGTGGTGTGTGGTCTGCACTCGACGCTCTTCTCGTTCTCCGAAATAGAGGGTACTAACATCATCAATGCTCCGCCTCTCCACGCTCTTTGACCGCAAACGGCAAACCCTCACTACCAATCAACAATAGGGTGACCAAGGACGTACAGTCGGTATCTCGAAGTCTGATTGGGCGTGTCACCGGAAATGACGTGGCAGCCACCGCACTTGATAGATGTCACGTGGATAAAATACTCCGCCAGATATCAGCAAAGCATGCTGGAAGCAGCTTATCCGCGCAACTTCTATCAAGTGCGGTGGCTGCCACGTCATTTCCGGTGACACGCCCAATCAGACTTCGAGATTTGGAGTGTAAGCAAACCAGCCCTTTTGGCGCTTCGGCTGGGACCGTATGCTGAATGTTGGGGAGGGGATGGAGTCCCCGACGGTGGACGGACCACTTCAACTCGGTCCTTAGAACCGCCACAATTTGGTGCTTACCTCAGAACTAAGCCTTAAAGAGAGGACGGGTCCGTCCCCTCTCCAAGGCTTAGTCCTGGGGTGAGCAAACCAGCCCTTCTGGCGGAGCTGCTGGACCAGCTGCACCACTTGCGTCAGTACTCTCCTATCGTACCAACCGAGTTGAAGTAAACCGTCGACCGTTGGGGACCCCATCCCCTCCCCAACATTCAGCATACGGTCCCAGCCGAAACGCCAAAAGGGCTGGTTTGCTTACCTCACCAAAGCCCCCCACCAGCGCCTTGTTAGGTGACTAGGGAGCGCCCTTGCCGGAAATGCCATGTCTCGTCCTCTCGGTGGCTTGGTTTTCCTTCGCGCAAGCAGAATTCCCCCGCTTTGGCATAAAAACCGCATCATTCTATTTTCCCGATAAGTCGTTGTGAGACCTATCATTCACAACAACAACGAAAAAAATGAATAATAAAAAACGCCAAACCAAATTAATGTTATGATTGATATGGAAATACTGTTCGTTCAGAGTCGCACCGTAGAACTGCCAAATATTGTCGGCAAGGGACTCTTTTCATGGTTTGGAGTTTCCCATTTATGGCGGACAACATTTTTTGTTGTCTGGACCCCGATCTATTGCACTAAAATTTTCTCCTTTCTCCGAGCTCAGAAGGTAGAGTCAAAGTCCTTCCCACGACGCGTAACCTTATATGTGGCTTGCCCAGCACTTATTCGTTCCATGCACCGCCTAGAGCGCTTTCGTAGGGTCGTCCGACCGTAACGATAGCACGGCATTGAATACGTATCAATCATCCGATCGTCGGATGACCGATACGTACTTAATGCTGTGCGATCACGATTGTTGTGATCGAATGACCGACCATGAAGGCCTCTTAGGTGTCCGAGGATGTTTACTGAGTGTGGTTTCCGAACGTTTCTTTTCAGAAACTGTATATTTGCCCTTGAGACTTTGTACGCTGCAGCAGTGATCACAGATGACGCGTCTATGCGGGAACAAATACAAAATATTCCCGAATACGATTCCTTCAAAGTAGGTTTGGTTAAGACATCCTAAAGAAGATTAGGTGAGAGAGAGACGTGCTTGACTAATTGAAGGAGTTGATACGCACCTCAGCTTTTTATGGCAAAATCTCACTTTGCATATGAGAAGTTGATCGAATGCTAACCCAACAGATGGAATGATCCAAAACGGCCTCGATTTCCATGCAGTGAAAAAAGAAACATTTGCCATCGCTATTTCAAGCATCGAACGGGTTCGCAAAAATGCTGCCCAAGTTATGCGCAGGATTCAAATGAGATCGCAATTGACAGTGCTTAGCCTTGAAGTAAGCTTTTCGGGGAACAAGGTTCAGCACATATCTCTCGAAAAGGTCAGAATTTCATCGCGAAGAATGTATACAGCACGTTTTGATGGACATTGGCACAATTCAACTTTAAAACTTTTGCAAAGTCCAGGTAATCCAAGTACCGCATTACTCCTGCGCCGGCAATCATCCCGAGTGGCAATACTACAATGGGTTTGAGATATATGATTTATTTCGGACATATTAACAACAACAAAATATAATTTCTTAAGCCAACTGAACATCAATGTATACAGTGATCAACCAAGAACTTTGCGTACAAAGCATCATAGAAAAATGACAAACCTACTTATACATACATCTACCTAACATCAACGAATACGGCACTCAGTTTTGCGCTTTCATTTGGAGCTTTTTCAACCGGTTCTGAAGACTGTCCGCAAACAAAACCATTCAGCAACGACGACGAATTGTCGGGCTTTTGCACCCATCACAGGTGGGAATGGATTTCCTGAAGTTCTCTATGCAATATTCTGATCTTTTGAAGAAAGTCAAAAAAGTCGTCATTCGAAAAAAAACGAGAAGAATAACATCGAAAGTACCATCAATTTCTAAAACGGCAATATCGTATCGCCTCCACCGTTCTATTCGGCCATGTATGTGCTGTTGCAAGCGCTGTGTAGGAAGACGATATATTGAAGTGAAAGGTCCTTCGCGGTTAACGAAGCGAGGTACAATCACCTGTAGAAATTCTTATCAGTTTGTATTTACGAGCAATACTTCAACGCTTAACTGCATGACCCTACAGAAGGGTGAAAAGAAACCGAAACACAGAACAGTGCTTTACTTTATGCATTTTTTCGATGAGATCCGCTTCAAGCAACCACCACTCCATCATCTCCGTTGTGTACTCATCATGTTCACCCCTTTCGACTCCAAGTTGAATCAACTAGAAAAATTAGAATTAAAGAAGAAATTCATCAATGTTGTAATTTTGCACACTCGCTTCAACACCAGCCCCCATTCACGCTTTTCATAGAACGAGGTAGTTTGGATCTACAAATCCGCTTTCACTTTATTCGATGTGTGCCCTGCATTTCATACACTCTGCCTTGGTACATAGCATGTGAACTTCGAAAACCACTTAGGCTGTCACATCTCAATCCTCAATGAAGTAATCAAGCTGCACGGAGACTTCCGCAATGAAGTGGTGAAAAAAGTCCTTGAGATATGAAGAATAAGTACGAACACGAGAGATATTCAAGCGCAGCTTTCTGCTTATTGCTCACTGATGAATGTTCAGCAATCTTTCCCGAGTAAATCTCTAAATTTCACCCTTTCCAGATATGGCCGAGCTTCCACCGCTCTGTTCCATTGCAGCTCGGCTCTTTCTTCACGGACCAGTCGTGTGACGATACGTCGAAGAACCTTCAAAATATCATTAAAGAGACAGCACAAAAAAGAAATCCATGCTGCTACCCTCGCATATTCCTGAAAGCGAGGCCTCACCTCAAGACGTGCCCGCGAACTCGGTTCAATGTTTGCTGTCTTCAGCCTCTGGGGAATATGTCCTATTGTGGCACGAATGCGAGGAAGAGCGGCGACAACTCGGTTCGCCATTACCGACTATGGTCGATTTTCGCTAGCCCAAAACATTTGCACAGTTACAAAGTTTAAGCATTAAGTAAGCTCTTTTCACGTATTATCGGAAACTCCGTGACTGTGGGTTAACCACCCTCAACAAAAACACGGCTTGTGGAAGAAATACTTACCACAACTACTGAGATGGTGCGGTGTCTTTAATCTTCAGGATATCACGTGAATCACAGATGGAAAATCAACACAGGTCGCAAAGAAAGTCAACATTATCATTACTGACGCATGAAAAAGAAAATGTGAAAGAGAACACTAGAAAAATGAGCGAACCAAAAACAGATGAAAGAGAGGAGAACATAGACTTGTCCAACATCAGGGATATCAACACCAGTCTTCCTAGAAAAAGCAAAAGAACGAGAAAACCTAGGGAGATTACGGTAATTATAGTACATTCGTTTCATTGAGATAGGTCAGCATAAAAAGTACTCAAAATGAAAAAGAATGAATAGCCCGCCTGGGACTGACCATGAGCTCCAGGTATCCCAACAGCTGCAGCTTCATTATATTCTCGGCCAAACCTTTGTAGCTTGTAAAAAAATGCGAATCTTAAAAATCGAGCACAATCACTGTAACATAGTCCCTCTAGAAAAGGTATAAAAAATCAAAGCTGGAAAACAGAAAACATATATGTGCAGCGATGTAATGCCACAGAGCCGGGAATACTCTCGGATGTTTCTAAATCACAAATTGTCAACCTTCGTTAATTTGCGGAATTTAGAAGAAACGCCCCCATCCAGAGCTCAGCCACGAGGCGATTTCTGGGAAAAGTTCGACGTCTTCTACAGGCCTCGACAATCCCAAAAACACCTAGATTACGCTTACGATAAGTCTTGGCAAAGAACCACGCCCAAATCGATCAGTTATTACCACTCCACCAACAAAAGAAGACCTATCTAGATGAACAAAACGAGAAATGTAACAAAATCGGACTCGAATTTCTGCATGAAGCACCGGAATAGACTATGATACAGAATATTGGATAATCGAAAATCATTTCGCAGAAATGATTTAAGCATTAGGACTATCAGCAAATACGCACTCTGTTACCATTAACAACTTCTCTAATTAGATACAAATAGAAATTAAGCACAATGAAACTGGCAAGATACGTCAGCGACATTAAACGCTCATAATCAACGCATGCCGCGATAGTGAGAAATGATGAGAAATGCGGAACGGAATTTGCGTATGACATGGTGTGACTCGATACACTTTACAAATGCATCAACGAGATTATGCTGCAGCGCGGGAACTCACAACATGGAATGTATTGCCGGAGAACCGCGCTCAAAAAATGTGCACCTCGTAGGCTGCCGAATCACGGACACCTGCATGGCTGGACTTCCTATCCGAAGGCCGTTTTTCGAGGCAGACGAAGTTAAGAAGTCGTGAGAATGTCGCCGAAGAAGGAGTCGATTTGGAACTTGGCACAAAACTTCCGAGCAACGGTATAATATAAGTCCGTGAAATAAAAAAGCCAGTGACGTGAAGGTAGCTCTCGTCACCCGTGGAATGCTGAAAGGAAATAGTAATCCGTTGGAAACTCACTTTCACTTCGCGTGACTGGTATTTAGACTTGCATACTATGTGAGCGGGTGGGGCTTTTAGTACAGTGGGTGAGGGCGCACGCGAGTGCGAGAGATGGGAATGACGGCGCGAAATGCGCCGGCAACATGCGGGCGCCCGAAGGACGAGCTGCCGCGCCGAGGCCCGCGCGCCACCCCCCCCGCCGTCCGCAGGCTCCGGAAAAGCAGGATTCGCGTACTTGAAAGATAGCAAAGGTTTGAAAAAATGACGGGTTTTCAAATAGATGCACCAGACACGACGACAGAAATATCTCTCACATAACGGTGGAATACTTCGACAGCATAGAGATAGCTGGGTGGCGCTAGACGGAGGAAGTTAATAAAACTAGAAAGAAACGCCATATCAGCATGAACTTGTCGCCCCGATCGGACCACGCGTTGTCTCTTGTCGGACAATAAGTTCTCATGTGACTCAAAATCTAATCATTGTGTGGTATGGAAAATACTAAAACGATATAAGAGCAGTGCGATGACACATACGAGCAGGTCGATGCACTAACGCGCACTTTATTGACAAGGAACAATGTGATGAGAAAAAGAAATGACAGCCCCCCGCCGCGCTCGAATGCAGACAGCTATCTGTGATCTGCTGCTATGCGGAGAGGGATTGCGGAGCTGACGAGGGCCTTCCCGTTATAGTGTTGCACTGGTGCGAGTATCGCACTCGAACTAGTAGTCGAGATATTCCTAGTTTCCGCAATCACCTTATTCCACAAGAAAATAAAGCGTAGGTGACCCATAGCAACTAAAATGATCTGATTTCTACAGGCGCCTGACTCGGCGCATTTGCAAAAGTTCCCAACTCATTCCTATTATGTGCCTCCATCTCAGCATTATGCTGCTTTCTTCTGCTCATTTCTTTACATAAAAGGGGAGGAAAAAATTTGCCAATGGCACACACCAGCCAACTATTTGCGCGATCTAAATGTTCGGCTGAGCCTACTAGCGCAATTAGTCTGCCTAGGCAAATGAACTGAGGTATTCAATCATATTCAAAATTGCAATTCCGTTCCGTGAATGTTCGGTCGAATAAAGTGGTCGCTTTGATTTTGATGAAGGGTTAGAGCCGTATTCGTCGGCGTTGTTAATAAGGGAGAAACTAAAGGAAGCACTCTGTTTTATGAAAGGATGAATATACTGTAAAGTAGCAGCGAATACATAATGAATACGAACACGGAATGTAGAAGAATAAGAATTAAGTGTCGAGTACGTATGGGACAAAATAAGTAGAAGAAAAAAAACCAATTAAACAACAGTCAATCCTGCGACGAAAACGAAAGAAACGAACCTGAACGCAAAAACATCAGTGCTTTCGGAAAATGGCAATTCCCGCCAATCTTCACACAAACTTCTAATAAGCTCTGGAGCCAGGTACGACAACCAATGCACTGGCACAACCATTGTATTGTTCCTGTGATTAACGTATCACTTTTCACAAAAATTCGCCATGCAGCGAAACCAAATAAGAAATTGTACACAAACGCGCTACCTGCTTGGGTGTCTCAACCGCTTCATGCTGAACAAGCCAAAGTCAGTTATCACCACTTTGTTCTTGCTTTCGATAAAGATATTCTTGGAACGGAGATCTTTGTGGAGTATTTTTTTAGTGTGAAGATATGAAACTCCCTAAAACAACCATATTACAATCATGAATCTATGTTGATGACGTTCAAACAATGGTGATCTTGAAATTTCGACGGACACACCTGACATATTTGGGTAGCAATAATCAGAGCTGTTCCTAAATCGACGGCTTCATTTGTCTCGTGGAGGATATGATGAAGGGGACGTCCCTTACACAAGCTCATTACAATTCCAAATTTATCTGATTCGATACAGTAACCGAGAAAGAGAACAATGTTGTCATGTCGAGTATTCTAAATCGAATAGTAATTTATCACAGGAAAATACGTTAAAGCAAGCTTTTGCAGACAAACCTTATGAGCAGTGACTTCCGATTTGAATTCGTCCAATCGCCTTGACTCCTCTATGTGACTCATATTCAAAAATTTCACTGCAACATCACCGAAATGGTAGCCACGAAGAACCTGGATTAGGAGGAAAACGAATGATTCTCTATATCTGATAACTGCAAGTCACAAGGTAAATACAAACGTACGTCTCCGAATCGACCATGACCAATCAACGAGTTCTTTTCGAAGTCAATCTTTTGAAAAGGTATGTTGACTTCATTCCAGCTTGCCTGAAATGACAACGTTGAGACGGGACCCGAGCGCTCAGGAATTCTTGAGAGCATAATCACTAATGGATTGAATTTTCTCATAGAACTTCAACACTTCCTTATATATTTCTCGGAAGTTGATGAAGGTTCTTGTTTTCAACACTGTTTTCGACAAACGATATCAGCTCAAAGTTGAATTATTAATGCTTGGCACAGGGCACTTAAGTTCATTTTATGTTGAGTTCGTACACCGCGTGAACATATAAAAAATGAATAAGGAACAGACGGTAAGATTAGAGTATAAGTATGGAGAATTCCAACAAAAATTAACATTGCACTGCAACAATGCAAGTTTTTGAATAATTAACCACAACCATCACACTTATTGGACACTTTTACTAGCTGACACCAAGTGTGATTTAGAAACACTGGGAGGAACAAGTCATAATAGTAGTAAACGGTAGGCGGAATGCCAAAAAATGTGAGAAAATGGAAGATAACCATCGACAGATGGCACCAAATACCAATAATGTCAGTCAGAGACGTTTAAAAAAATAGGGGGCACCTACACCCATCAATGTAAGGTTTGGAAAAGAGGAAAAACTAAGAGAATCAAGAATTTTCCACAAGTGTGAATATCGAGGCGCATTCTCCAATCAGAGTTATCAACCATTTTCATACGCGATGAATTCCAAAAAAAAATCAGATAGAACAAACCTGTGCATTAGGACCTCGAATTGTACTCATGTTCCATCTATTTCGATCCCACGTATGTCCACCTGGTGATCTCCCACCAGTGGAACTGTCGGAGAGAGCTGTGTCGGTCTGTAACGGTTGAGTATATTGCAAAACAGAACAACTTACAAGCGCTAGTGAGAAAACAGTGAAGCTAATAGAAAAATATTTTATTATGCAATTATATTAAATTTAGCTAACGGATATGGACAAGAGCTCACTCCAGCGCTGCCGATGGAATCCACAATGACGGTCCCCTCACTGCCCTCACCATGTTTCGTATTCAGCGAAGATGGACCCTCACCAAAATCTGAACTGGAGCTTGGCCAACCTGATGTTTTGCTTTCACCATCGCTGAAATAAAATGAATGAGCAAAAAAGTGGGATCATTCCAAATACTCTCATACGGATATGAATATTAGTAACTTACCTCATGTCAGGCAGCACAATGTCGGGAAATTCAGGCACCCAAGAGGGA